TGATTGTAAAATGAGAAAGCATCATTGATAAGAATGGAGACTATTTCATTTAATCAATGTTTTGTTTTGATATATATAAATTGTTCAGGTTTTTTCATCTAAAAAAAAGCTACCTTAATTTTGAAATATCCCTGAGAAAATATTAATTTTAAAAATTTTCATTAAATACATAAGTTTGCAAAATATTTTAAATATAAATGTTTCCTTGATTGGAAAAACTGGCTAGAAAATAAATCTGTCCAAAAAAATAAATTAAATTGCATCCTTTTCTTCAACAGATAATGTATATATCTTCAGATGAAATTAGTCTATTCTGGTAACTAGGAACGAAGAAAAACTGTGTTCTTTGCCAAATCTATTTTGGGGTTTTGTTGGATGGATGCCATTAAGACTTAACAATACAGAACTTCACGTCTAATGATTAGGTTTCATTTATTAAAAATTTCTTGGTTGAGTGCATTTAATTAATTAATCTTACCAGTTATATTAAATATTATGTACGTTAATATTGTTAGCTTAAGAAATGTATTTTTGTAGTTAAACTCCCGGTATTTGTTTTGCTTTAAAGTTGATGGAACACTAATTTGAAAAAAACTGTAAGGTATTAATTTTCACATTTTTTATTGTGTTACATGTACTTGAAGTATAGTTTATTGAGTCTGATTAAAGTTTTTTTGAGGGAAATTAAGATAACTGATGTCTTGGTTTATTATTCTGTTGAAATGGTGTGTTTGTAACATGCTGTATTACTTATAAAATAAGCAGCTGTGACTTGCTTAAAGCCCAGATAAATTAATGTGATATACTACAACTAGTGCTACAGATGCTTGGTTTTGTTTTTGAATATGTATGTACAAAAAAAAGTAAAAAAAAAAATTGGTAAATCTTTATTTTTTGTTTATTATTTTATATTATACAACTATTTGTTTATTTTAACAATTAATTAAATAGATGTAACATACAGACAACAAGGGATTATTTGGTCCTTCAAGGCTGTCCTTGCTCACCCATCTTTGAGAAAAGTAAAGATTTAAACCCACATTTTATTTTTCAGATCCTCTCTTAAACAGCTAATTAATTAAGTTATTCCACAACTCAAGTCACCCTGTTAGAAACATAAAGCTGTCTGACTGAAAGTTTTGCCTGTCTTTTTCCAGATTTTAAACATCTGTCCTCATGTTCTGTTATGTTTAGAATATAGCACAGAGAAGTCAGATTGATCCCCTGGATGACCTTCCATAAAATAATCTTTTAACCAAGATACCTTAACCTATCCCTGAAAGACAACCCTTATGCTCCTAGAATCATCCTAGTAGCTCTGAGCCCTTTCCACTAAGTCAGAATCTTTTCTTAAATAAGATGATACAAACTATTCTTGTATTTCCAGTGAGGGCTAACCTTTCACAGGCTGAAGTAGAGACCAATTGTTTGGTATTGTGTCTATAACTATACCACCACAGACCTAGGTATACCAAAATGAACCTTGATTATGTATTTGTCCAGTTTTCAACTCACATTTATTATGTTTTCATTAAAAATTTGTCCTTCTACACCTGCTGGTTGAGGACATTATCATAAAATTATACAAGACAGTAACCAAACATTGAAGCAATCAAAGGGTTCAATATGAAGACAAAAGGGGGATATTTTTGAGGTAGATAGCATGTGTAAAATTTGCAGTGACCATGCATTGCTATAATAGGACATGTTAAATGTGATTACACCAGAGTTTTGGATTTTTTTATTGTTGGGTATATGATCATAATGGGTGAACTTGAAAGAAGATTGTGGGTTGTGAAGTTATTTCTATAAGGAGTAAGCATTGTTTTCATAATTGTATTGCAGTATATATATATCTTAAAAGTTTGTTTTGACTTTTAAATATATTAATAGCAGTTTTTCATGTGTGTTTGATTTATGACCTTACAAGTATATTCGAGTTTTTATGTTTGTATTTCAATCCCAGCAAGTCGACTAATTGGGAAACGACTTTCTGCATCTCGACAACTCCTTGCTGCTGGACAGGTATGGAAACATACGGTTCCCAGCCATGACTGTGACGTCGTGGTTACGTTTCCAGCTAATGTCAATGAAACCACATTAGTCTGGTTATTGACAAAATTAAGAACACGCTTATCAGATGTCACTGTTGAAGTTCGCCATCATCGGCATTCTGGAGTTTACGTCTTTTACTTAACTGCTCCGTATGAAAAGTAGGTTGTATGCACACTAATAGAAGTGTTTTATCACACCAGGAAAAACAGTTTATTTAAGAAGTATTCTCCCTTGTTTCTTTAGTCTAATTCTCATTCAGTATTAAAAAAATGTTATGTTTTCAGTTAAAATATATGACATTTGAAAATAATAAACAAACATTATAAAACTGTGAATGCTAAAAAAATACACTAGTTTTTATTTCCATGTACATTATTAAATGAGCTTTCAACTTCTTTATTGGACCTTTTTCAGATTTTTATAAATTATATATATATATGAATATTTCAAAACTTTTTGATAGATTGTTTAGGTAGAGTAATCGTGATGAAACTTACTTGAATGGACGGCAACTTTTGGAATTTCCTCCTCTACACTTGTGTTTCTACAGCAGGCAGATGCTGTCCATTCAACTAAGTTTCATCAGTTTTGAAATAGTTTATTACATGCACATTGAGCTAATACACATCAGCAAATGTTTCCAAAAACAATAGTAGAATTGTACAACAGTGTTAAGGTACAGCATAATTCACAACATCATAGAAAAATGTATATATGTAACAACTTTTTTGTGTATGTTAAAGTTTAACTTAAAACTGGAGTCAACATTAGAGCTGGGCAGTTACTTGATTAACCAATATAATTGATTACCTATGAGCATTGCTTACATTTATTAGTATCATGTAAAATAATCAGTTAATTAAAATTACAATTAAGGTAATTAATCTGATGAAAATAATCAATCAAAATTAGTATTTCCAATCATTACTTGTTTTTGTTTTTGCACCTATTCAAATGATTAAAATGTTGGTATTATGACTTGTCATGGTTATTTTTGGTTAGTTTAATCAGTTAGTATCATGACTCACAGTAATTACTAACTAATTGAAATTTACTTTCTTTATTACAACTACTTTTTGATATTTCCAACTAGCCAAGTAATTGAAATGTTGCCATTATGGTTTCTAATTATTAATCTTTATATTGATTCAAGTTTGTTATAATATATATATATATATATGTGTATATTCAACAGTTGATTAGTTAGTACATCAGTAGATCTTCTAACACAATTAAAATGCATTATCACAACAGCCTTTCATGCCATTAGCCATACCAGCAGAAATGTTGCCATATGGGTGGCTGTTTGTCTAATCTCAGTCTTCATATCTCATTGAAAAAAAAATTTAGAAAAAGTGAACATTTTCTAAAAAGGATTTTTTTCTGGGAATTACTGCACGGGAAAAGTGTTCTGATTGTGCTCTTTAGTCATACGCAACTTATTGCATCAAAATGATTCAATATACAGAGCTCAAAATTTTCATAAATTTTACTGATATAAACTGTAATGTTTTTTATATATTAAAAGTGGTACCGTTTATTAAAAAAATAATAGTTTTTTAAGAACTCCAGTTTCTCAGTGGTACATTTAAAAATTACATCAATAAAGATATAATCAAACCCTCACATACAGTCCTAGTGAAAGTTGTGTTCTTGTTGTGAGGAGAGTACTTTTACATAAAATTGTGTTCTGTGATAAAGAAATAGTTATCGCACATCCCACAGTTATTTTTCTAATTGTCTGAATCTTGAATACCCGAAGTGTGAAACTTTTATGGATTTTTGTTTGTGGTGCCATTCAATAGATGCCGCAGGAGTTTTGGTTACATACATAGATACTGACATACACACTACGTCTACTATAGTAAGGTGATCTTAACAAACGTCATCCATTACAACAACCTGTGGTCATACATTAACATAAAAATTGAATATAATAGTTCGTATTTTCATTGCATAAAGAAATTTGTATGCGTTTTATTTGTATTAGCTAATTCTACGTATGTCAAAAATCCCTATCCAAGTAATCAAAATATTTGCTATTAATACTTCCACTGGCAAGCACAGTCGTGACAGTATGTATGCCTGCCTTCTGCTTGTACACTACTCGAGAATATGAGGTTACATAACTAACCACAGTGATGCTTTTGTTCAAATTTAACTTGTATGTTTAATTAATGGTGTAGGTTTAACTTAACACATTGTATACTAATTACAAGCTAGAAACATAACTTAGGGTAAGATTGCTTTAATGAAAAAAATGTTATGCAAGTTAATATTCATTAGTTTTTATTGGCTCAAAGGAAATGTTGTTTGCCGAAAAGCTTGCTTTCTAAATTGTGTTTGTCAGAATTTACTTGACATGGACTGATACCAATCTTAGGTTATGTAACAATGTTAAGTTGCTAATCTGTTGACATGAACAGACTCCCTGGCTGTTGTCACCTGCTGCTTATACATGGCTTATTACACCAAGTCATTTTACTTGTTGATTTCTTAGCACATGTTTCAACATTTTCTACCAGCTGTATTATAAGATGTAAATGTATTAATCATTTTAATATGTTCTTTCTAAGCTTCCATCTGTATCAGTTACTTCTTGTTTATAAGCTTATGATGTTTTCAGTTATTTTTAAGTTTTTCAAGCCGATGATATAACTAAAACAAATTAAAGAGTAGTTCAAAAATGTTTTTAGAAAACCAAAACAAGTGAGAAGTAAGAATATTATTAGTCTTGTGTGAAAATAATTGATTAGTTGAATGTAGTTGACCCCAACAATTAATAAAGAAGCAAATTCAACTAAATACTTATTTCTGATAAACATGGCATTGTTGTCATTGAATTACACACAGTTTTCCTGTCAACTTAAAATTATAAACATCTTTGAGGCAACATAACATGATTTTAATATACCACTTAAATTAACTATTTTAATCATTGTTTTTTTATTTATAAATTATCAGGACATGTCGAATCATATTCCAATAGTATCTTCATCATTCAGTTGTCTTTACAAGTGAACTGGTACAACATTGTTGGAAAAGTCAGGATATTTCTGCAATAATTATGCATATTACACTGTATCTCATTATTGTTGTAGTAGCAGATATCTGTATTATTATCTGTGTAAACACACAGCCCATGGATCTCTAAAGTGTAACAATTAGCCTTGAGGGGGTTGCATGGCTGCTCAATTAATAGATTTGTACTCAAAACTCATTTGAGTATTTTTATCATTAAATAACATTATAAGTTTAAAACGGAAAACTGCACAATTTTTGGTAGAATGAAAAATAAATCTGAACATGATGAAGATAATAAACCTTATTTCCAAGAAGAGATATCGTGATAAGTTGTTGTTTTTTTAGCATGAAAATAGTTTAATTTTCTTTTATTTAAAAAGTTTATATCTAAGTAGTTGATGTGTTCAGTCTTTAAAATGAATTTACTTAATTTACATGTGCCAGAAAAAATGCCAGATTCTAAGTTCTCCAAACAGTAGATGTTCCTACAATATATTCTAGATGGTTCTGGTAAAAATATAATGTATGGTTAAGAATGCTTTCCAGTTTTTAAGATCCTCAGCTGCTCTCGAGCAATTAACCAAAAAAAAGATGGCTGTAATCAAGCTCATTTATGCATGAGTAGAAGAGTTTATGCTATATATTCATGTGTCAGCTGGATTTATAGCTGATTAATTTTAAGTTTGAATTGGCAACCAATAAATATTCAAAGAGAAGCTAAATGTGATGAAATTCATGAAAGTGTAATTTTGTAGAAATGTAATGTTTGGTATATTATAGATAAATAAAAAATTCTCAGTTATGGAACAGGAATAAAAAAAACTTAAAAACTGAAGCTAAATTTTGTTATCATACTTTTTAATTTAGTTCAATAAATTTTTCCTTTTTTATTTATTCAATTAGTGTGATAATATTCAGTAAAATGTTTTTTAATGTAAGTTTAATAAACATATAAATATAACTGTTATATATATATATATATATATATATATTTACACACAATAATAAATTTATCTACGAGCTGAAAGTTTGCCATTTATATATTAATTTTTATTTTTGACAAAGTCGGCTAATCCTAGGTTGTACAATATACAAATTGTAAAAGCCTGATTTATGAGATAAATGATACAATAAGGGTTTGAAGTTAATTCATATAGTAATTAAAGTATTAAACATTTGCAATTTAATTTAATAGTTTACTGTATAACACTTATGTTTTACTGGTATTCAGTTATAATTCACGGTTTACAATTTCTCTGTAAATAGGTGCCTAATGAGTCAAAAGTCATCTGTAATTTTAATCCTGTAAGTTTTAATAGCTTTAACTTGTTTCTAGCCTACTAAAAGGTGCTGAACAGTTGAGGTTACGAAAACGACTAAAACCAGTTTTTGGGGGTGGTATGAAAGAGTTTGTGTTTGAAGAACAAGATTTCTTTGAAAATGTGGAAGATTCTGACAACTTTTTTAGCTCACAGGAGAGACAGAGTATTGTTTTACACCTTCTCCACAGCCTAAGAGCAGACGAAGGAGACCACCTTCACTGTATTAATTTTGTAGAAGGACAGTCCGTCAGTAAGTAAAATAACTCTTTTTCATTGTTAAGCTATTACATTTTTGATGATCAAATATTTTTTTTTGTTTACTGTCGTATTCTCAAATGAATACCTGTTGTCTTATTACTATCTCTTTAGTTGCATATCTGCTGTCTACTTAATTTTATATTAAATCCTTGACTGCTATAATTAAATCCATGACTTAAACTGTGCCAAACACATAGTTTTGTTTTTCAATAAACCACATATCTTGGGTATTTGGTACACGAATACAGAAGCCTTTTAGAACAAAGCATAGTGACAAACATCAATGTCAAATTTGAGCACTTAATGCCAGTAAGTTATATCAAATATAATTATATTTACTTTTGTTTACTCTGCAGGGAAATTGTGTAGTATTGTAACTTGAACATGTTGAACTTTTGTTTATTAAACATGCACATCTAATATTATTTTTTATACATTTTACTAGTTCCTAAATGTCTAGCTACAGGAATTATCAGCCAAATTTTGCCCCTACATAATAGTGAAGCTTTAACAAGACTGAAGAAAACTTGGGTTCAAGCTTTCTTCCGATATCAACCACTGGGTAAGGTAACCACCATTTTTCAGTTCTATAGTAGCACTTCTAAAATTCCTTGGGAACTTTTTATGAAGTTAAATCACATAAAATTGTATGGTGTGTATTTCATCATAATATAATAATGTCTTCACAGAAGTTGGTAACCTTTGCTCTTCCTGGAAATCATGGGGTATCGATCGTAATTGTAGCAAAACTATGATTACCCTTTGACTCAAGTATAAATCACAGTTGTGTCTCCCTGTCACCAAGAAAAGATATAAAAATTAATACAAATTACTGTTCACAAGTATATTGGATGATGATAAAATATTTCTACAGTTGTGACAATCAGTTTAATTTTTTCATGAAATTTACTATTTTAAAATTAGTGCATTTATTTGCTTTTTAACATCATTGTGATGTACTTAGTTGTCAATTTGATCAAAGTTCAATTTATAAGAAATTCTGTAATTTTTAGTTTAGTCTGCAGTTTTAACGCATCTTATATAAGAATTAAAACATAATCATAGTAAACTACTCTTTATTTGCACATAAAACAGTATTATCAATTTTTTTAATTTACAACGAAATCACAATCTTTTACAATAAACAATGTAGGCCTGTTTATTTTGGTTGCTGTTGTAATGACTTTTTCAATGTTGTTATAATAGGGCTTTATGTTAATGATAGTCTCTTAGGTTCTTAATTTATTATATAGGAATGGGACAGATAGTAGTTGTTAATATAGTTACATTATGTAGGAATGGGACAGATAGTAGTTGTTAATATAGTTACATTATGTAGGAATGGGACAGATAGTAGTTGTTAATATAGTTACATTATGTAGGAATGGGACAGATAGTAGTTGTTAAT